TTGGGGATGGGGGTGAATTGTAAATATGAATTGTACATTTGTATTTTTTATGTGTGAATTATTCTATAATATGTAACACTTGTAAATGTTATTTAAAAATCACATTTTTGAGTTGTGGTTTTAAAATGTTGTTTTATAACTTGTAATTGTTTATTGTAGGCCCTATTTGTAAATTTTATTTGAAAATTGTACGTGTAAATTATATTTGTAAATTTGTAATTGTAAATCTAAAGCATACATTTTGTTTCGTACATTGTCAATTGTAATTTCAGTTTTGAATTTGGAATAAGTAAATAGTAATTGTAAATTATAATTGTAAAGTGTAATTTTGTAAATAATTTAATTGTGTTTTGTGCATGTGAATTATACTTGTAGATTGCAATTACAAATGTTGTTTTGTAAATTGTATATAAATTTAGTCCCCACTAGGTCCCCACATGTTCACCAACTGTCAGCGGGTGGTTGGCAGGTGTTCTGGTGTGGTTTGCTCCTTCTTTCCTATTATATCGTCCTTATCTCTCCTCCTTTTTTGTTGTTGCATACGTTACTCTCTTGTAACACATCTATTCTTTGGCACTTATATGACCTTTTGGTGTTGCAAGTACCTTAAAACTCTTACTAAAACCAAACCAACTGTCACTCACGTGTAGTTGAGCGCTATAGGCAGGGCCGGCGTGAGCTGGAACAGCCTCCCTATGGGCACCTCTCTGTACAGCTCAGCACAGCGGCGGTCTTGCACCAGGGAGAACAGCACGTTGGTCAACACGTTCGCGATGTCGTGGGCGCTTGGGTGACCTGTCCATTAAAAAATATTTTTTAAAATTTGAGTTGGGTTTTTTACACCTTCAGCGACACAATTTAGAGCATTCATGAGGCTTGTTAGGGCCGACTTAGACTGACAGGGATATTACAAAATTACAACATCTCAGCAGAAAGACAACGATACATGTTCTCGATAAAACTTCTCCCAACTCGGGTACATATTGAACTCGGTTAGAGAGAGAGAGCGAGACAGAGAGAGAGAGAGTGAGAGAG